GCATTATTTCGGTTTCCTCATAGGATTTTAGTTGTAAGTACTTAGTAACTGCCAATTTACATTCTTTACGTGTTTTAGAGAAAATTTCAATAGCTCGGTTTACGTTATTATATAACATAGGTCCCAAAAACATTTGATGTCGTTTTGCGAATGACGAACATAATTCGGTTTTGAAAACTATATCTTTGCGTCTTTTTTTTGCTACTTCTAATGGATTATAAGTTGTTTTTGAATGGCAATCTAATATAGACTTGAGGATAAATAGTTGGCGGACTGTTAGAACTTTTACGTCAGCATATATTTGGACAGTTGAGTATGTATAATGTTTACACATCATAACTTTCAGTACTGCACGCTGAGCTCTTTCAATATTCATCATGTAACGTTTGTACGTACCGCCCCATGCTGTTATGCAGTACGTTACCAATGACTGACATAGTGCAAGATATGTCATTTTAAGTAATTTAAGTTCAGTAGCGGATCTTAGACGTTTAAATATATAAATAAGTTTACGAATCCGTTTAGTAAGTGCTTCAGTATGGTGCTTCCATGAAAGAGTCGAATCAATGTATACGCCGAGATATTTTATAAATGGCACTTGTTCTATATAATCACATGAGCAAATAACCTCAGGATTGACACGAGATGTACATGTATGAGCCTTTATATGCAAATTACAAGGTTGAAGGCATTCTAGCTTTGTGAAGGTAACGAATTTGGTCTTACTTAAATTGAGGGTGAGCAAATTTTGACGTAACCACTTCATGACTTGACCGAGCTGTGTCTCAACTGTACCATTTAGTTCATCCCACGATGAGCCCTGAAATACTAGAGTTGTGTCATCAGCAAAAGCAAATACTTTACCCTTATCAAGCTGAAGATTGCAAAGGTTATTAATATAAATTAAAAATAGACTAGGACCAAGAACGCTGCCCTGTGGCACCCCGTATTGAATTGGTTGTGTATCGCTTACAATATTATTGACCGAGACCTGTTGTGTTCGATTATTAAGATAGCTTGCAAACAAATCCAAAGCTGTGCCTCTGATGCCTATTTTTTCCAGTTTGTTTAACAGTAGTGGTACAGAAACAGTGTCAAAGGCCTTAGCCAGATCCAAAAATACTGCCAAGCACTTCTTTTTTTGTTCTAATTGTGTAACTATATGTGAAATAAGGTCATTAACAGCATGTTCGGTCGACTTTTTGTAAGTAAAACCGTATTGATTATCCGAAATGATGTTATATTTATGTAAGTAATTCCTTAACCTTTTATTTATTAGTCGCTCTAAGACCTTTGACAGTGAAGGTAAAATAGAAATAGGTCTGTAATTGGTGATATTTTTTTTGTCCCCAGCCTTAAAAATTGGTTTGATTAGTGCAGTTTTGAAACTATTAGGAAATACACCTTCTATGAAACTCCTATTGCATATGTGAGTAATTGGGGGTACAAGGACATGCGAAGCTATTTTTAGGACTTTTGTAGGTATGTCATCGATACCTGTAGCAGGACTATTTTTGAGTTCCATAATGGTATTGTGAACCTCATGACAGTCCGTCTCAGTCAATACAAAAGAGTTAGAAATCGTAACATTGGGTTCATTTGAATAGTAGAGAGTATCTTGAATAATGTTTTCAGCCAGAGTTTTTCCTATTTTAGCGAAATAATTATTAGCTTTATTAACTGAGTCACTAGGGTTGTCTGTAAGATGGAGGAGCTCACTAGTATCACTATTGTTTGAACCTAGTTTAGCAACAGTACGAATTGCGCCCCATGTCCGTTTGGTATTATTTTTAGCTTTTTCAAATAAAGTTTATATAATAATATATTGTGTTAACATAGTTTTCATTTAAAAGTGTTATTTTGTACAGTTTTATTATATTTAATTTATATATAAATAAATCGTAAATATAAATGACAAAAACACACAAAATAATCAAATAGCTAACTGTCCTTTTTGTACACATTGCATGCGCCAAAGATAGAATATAGAAATATAAACTTCGTGGTCATTGTTCGTTTTAATTTCATGCTTAGCACATTACTATTCAGCCGTCTCTCGTATGCGGTAATGGCAGACGTAATTGAAACACTTGGAAAACCGAGGAAACTTTTGGGGTTGGTATTTTCATAAAAAAGTTATAATTATCGAGTACAATGTAGCAAGGTCGCTGCTTTTCAAGATTAACGGTCGAAATAGTGAATTTTTAAGTTATTATTACACTTCGGCTTAAAATGTGGAAAATTTTATCGTGATTAAAAACTCAGAGCTTTCCATTGATTAAAATAATCACGTGGCAGCATTGGACCGGTATACGATCCATCACTTTGCGCCCCAGATACGCCTCAGTTTTTTTAACCAATTTTCCTGACGAATGTTTTTGAGAAGAGCCGGTATTCAAAAAAGTGATTCAATTATTTAAATTAGTTGGATCATATTTATGTTAATTGATTATTGACAATTATAAATATACCTCGTTTGCGAGAATTAAAAAAAATAGTCTAAAAGTAAAATAAATTTACACTTGAAAACATTGACTTACAATTATATGGACGTCGGGTCCGCGCTAAAAAGTGTCCGAATTTATAGGGCGTTAAAATCGTATACAGAGCGTCATTCACGCTTTAGTCTTCGTTTGTTCGACTGACAGCGAAGCAAGCAAAATTAGACAGTACTGCGATGACATCACAATTTAAATTCAACGTTTTAGCTTTTTCATATTCCTTTACATATCACTACGTTTAAATAGGTTGACTTGGGACATTTCTTTCGTGGTTTTTGTATCAGACCCGTCGTCCATTTATTTGTAAGTCAATGCTTGAAAACGTAATTTTTTAAGCTACTGCTCAATCACTGTGCTGACTTCCTTGTAAAGAACGAGCAAGAAACTTAAATCCCATGGGACAAATGCACTTAGCATGAAATTTGTGTGAAATCTACAATATAAATCACATTTGACCATGGGACCTGTAAAGGGCCCGAAACGTCGGTTTGTTTGTTTGAAAAAACAAATATACGAGATTTAAATCCGGAAAAATAGTTTCATTTCCTATGTTTAACAATCGCGAAAACCTAAGAACTCGATAATTCATTATTAATTCATTTTTTATAAGAACATTTTATATAATACTCTTCTTTAAAAATGATTGTTATAGATAACAGTCATTTTTAACTGATTTCAAAAAAGAAGGTAGTTCTTAATTGGACTGTATTTTTTATATTGATTTTAATGATTCTTTTTTTTGTTGGATGAGTACCCTCTACTTCAGTACGGGTCTCATTAAAATTTGAAGAAATTATTCCACCTCTAAGGTTGGCAAACTAGGGGATGAATCCGGTTTCGTGCACTTTCCGGTAACCGAGTTCATGGAACTTGGCAATTAGATGAAATTCTATGAACTTTTGAGTTCGGTTTCCTTTTATAAAAAAGTTATGATGATTCTTGGTACTTGACTGGTGTCCGCAAGTCGACGTCAAGGCGCCTATTTTTATGATGATTCTTTTTTGTTCGAAAGAGGATACTTCAGTATGGGTCTCATTTAAATTTGAAGAAAACATTCCACCTCTAAGGGTGGCAAACTAGGGGACGAATCCGGCTTCGTGCACTTTCCGGTAGGTAACCGAATTCATGGAACTTGGCAAGTAGATGAATTTATACGAACTTTTGAGTTCGGTTTCTTTTTATAATAAAGTTATGCCGATTCTTTTTTGTTCGAAATTGGGTCTTTCATTATGGGACTCATTTAAATTTGAAGAAAACATTCCACCTCTAAGGGTGGACTGGACATCTTCCGGCTGATATGATGATGATGATTAGAGTGGTTGCGCAAACGTTGTGCAGATGCACATGTGCATTGATGCAATCGTTAGCAGGAAGGTGTTTGGTGCGTATTTCTCTCTGAGAAGGCTTAAAAACTTTTTGCCGACTAAAACCAAAATTACTCTGGCCCAGAGCATTCTCCACCCGATACTGGACTATGCAGATGTTTGCTACCCAGATTTGTCAGTAACTCTGCTCAATAAATTGGAACGGCTCCAAAATATGTGTGTTAGGTTCATCTTCGGACTACGTAAATTTGACCATGTCTCCCAATTTCGCGCACAAATGAAATGGCTGCCCATCCATCGGCGTAGAGATCTTCATATCCTTTCACTTCTCTATTCAATTCTGTTATATCCCTTTACGCCTTCTTATCTTAAAGATCGCTTTACTTTCCACTCTTCTACACTCTGTCGTCCCCTTCGCTCCTCTGATATTCTCTTACTTAACTTGCCCTCTCATACCTCTAACTTTTATTCCAACTCTTTTACCATTTCTGCGATCAGATTGTGGAATTCTCTCCCTGAATCGATTCGACGATCCACTTCTCTTGATTCCTTCAAACTACGTGTCAAGGATCACTTCCTCAACTCCTAAATTTCGTCTGTACTCTACTATCCTTTCATTTATTTCCTGCATTTATACTTCATTTTTCTTTTTCCTTTAAAAGTATATAAGCATTTAATATTATTATGTATTTATTGTTATGTACGTATTAATAATATTATTGTTATTTGTATGTATATGTATATCTATCTATGGATATGTATATATATATTTTTTTATTATTATTACTTATTATGTAGTATACTTATGATGATATTCTTTGGTTGCACCTCTTTTGCATATCCGAAATGTCTATCCTAAGGTTGCCTGGAAGAAATTGCTACATAGCAATAAGGCCGCCTGTTGCACATTGAATTACCACTACTGTTATACTTATGCTATTGTACTGGATTTTAATTGTAATTTTTATGTGCAATAAAGAATATTTCATTCATTAATTCATTCAATCGCTTATAAATCACAAGTGTAGCGATGCAATCGCGCGTTTCCATCGCTGCTGAACATCGCGCGTGTGTGTAAAGGTAGACGATTAACGATTGCTTCTGTTATTAATCTATTTAAATACATTTGCATTATTTTGCGTTGTATAAAAAAAATATTTGTGTTATTACTTACCCTTAGTATCCTATAAGGGCTTTCCGCTAAAAGACACACCTCGCCAGAGTTGTTGCGGTCTGGTGGCAGCATGATCTGCAGCTCTCCTCCGTGGTCTATCTTCACTCGTGGAGTGTGACTGCGGCCGGTCATCCTTAGGATCCAGTCCTGTTGATATTTATACAATTTATACAATTCGTTGTAAAAATAGCAGAAGCAGATACATATCCATGTTGTTTAATAACACATCTAAACCAGCTATTGCTGACCTAATGATCTCTTATACTGTTGTACACATGATAGGGTGCATATATCTAGTCTACGTTCCTTTATGTAGGTATGCAATATCAGCGCCGTGCGTATTCTCTACACGAGCAATACCCGAGTACCTACAGTACCGGCACGTTGTGATGATCGTTTTGACAGATTACAATAGTGAGGTACAATCTCAATTCATTATCGAAAAAGAATATAATCAAATGCGAGTCACATCTATAAGTTTTGAGATTTATAACTAGTATTACAAGAGGTAGCTGATTAAAAGGTTTTAATAAAATAAAAATAAAAATGTTTACTTAATATATCGTCAATTCGAAACTGCTTTGTTTTGCATTGAGCTTTGACGCGAGTTTGCCGGAGGTAGAAGTTGTGCTGTGGCCTTACCATGAACTCTTATATAAATGTAATGTAATATTTATAGCGCTGTTAACAAATACACAATATGCTTAGTACCATTAAGCCGGTATATTAATAAACAGCGTCTAATTCCGCTATTAAATGCGTATCATCTGAGGTGTTACTCTGATCTATCTGTTACGTTTTTACAATTAAACAGCTGAATAAATTTTGATGAATTTTGGTATAGAGATCGATGGGACCGCGGAAAAGGACATAGTACATATTTCGTCACAAATATAAACTTTAAAGGGGGTGATCTTTTTTATCGTATCAATGGCATATACATGACGTCGACCGCGTTACTACGGTAGGACATGCTTGCCATCGTGGTGCAGTTCAGTATAGGTTCGAAACGACAAAAAAGCGGGACAGTGATATGCACTTCACGTAGTGCTGTCTCACAACGATTCATTTTACGTCCTAAACTGAATCGTAATTA